GGACTGACATGTTTACAGTCTGGATATGTCCATATAAGGACTGACATGTTTAAAGTCTGGATACGTCCATATAAGGACTGACATGTTTACAGTTTGACTACGTCCATATAAGGACTGACATGTTTACAGTCTGGATACGTCCATGTATGGACTGACATGTTTACAGTCTGGATATGCCCATATATGGACTGACATGTTTACTGTCAGTGTTTCCTTGTTGTGTCTCTGACACCACATGTAGGAGCAGCTCCACGTCTCTGTCGGTCCAAGCAAACCCATTATCGCTGAAGTAACAGGAAGTTTTCTTTGTTGTGTTCTTTCCTGGACTCTGATTGGCTAGCATGGCTTTATGCTTCTCGTCACGCTGCCCCCTGTAGGTCTGGCAGCTCATAGCAGCTCTTAGCGACGGGTTTATGCAGGTTTGTGTGAACGATGTTATTTAGGAACACGTAGGTCCGTTTTGGCGAATACCGGCTACATGTAAACGTGGTTAGAGACAAGAGTGTTGAGTTTAGTGCAGCTTTGTGACAAGGGGGCGCTGTTGTGGAAAAAAAAAAAAAAGATCAGGAATAATTGTCGCTTCTTCCAGATACTTGAGGCGACTAAGATGCTTCTGCGTTCATTCCATCGAGCACCGACAGCGCCGACTGCAGCAGCGGTGTTTAGCGGTGACACCGGCCCGTCTAATGATCGACGACACACCAGTCAGAAAGAATGAGCCTGTTTATTAGCCCTCATGTTAATCACCCCCCTTCTCCTCGGCCACCGACAGTCTCGTGGCTCGGGTTCATACACAACTCTATCTGTCAATAGAATCTAATAGAAAAATCTGCAGGTTACAGTTCGGACGTGAGTCCATTAGAAAAACAACAGAAACCATGAAACCAAAAGCTCCCCGCCCCCCTGAAGGACCGGGGCTCGGGACTAGGAAGATCTAAGCCGGAGTGGAGGGCCGTGGCCCGGTCCTGGTTCTGGGTCGTCGGGAGGCTCGGTGTGGCCCGAACACTGAGCCTGGAACCGGCCCCGGACACCCGGCCAGCATCCACCCCGGCGGTTTTAATAAGTCTGGGGTGTTTTAACCCCTTCCCTACAGCTCTTCTCGTCGCGGAGCCGCCACGCTAACAAGCTGCAGACCTTCGACGCGCCTGCGACGACGACGCTCAGCGGTTCTGGAATCACATGGTCCGATTACAGACGTGTTGAAGGGCAGCTTTTTAGCATGGCGGCGTCCAAACAGACAGACGGACACGGAGAAGAGATAGAGACAGTTAGCCTAGCAGTCTTGAGAATATAACACATACTCAGCTTCTCTTTGCAAATCGGTTAGACACAACATGTGAATTAAACAATATCATTTGAACAGGATAACAAAGTACATTTTGAACTGGAGAGCACCCGCCAGAGAGTGGAAATTTACACAAACCATCATCTCACTGACAAACTGAATATTCAGAACTGGATAAACAGATTTAAATAGACCACCGAACAGGAGAACGCATTATTATCATCATAATTATCATCATCATCATCGTCATCATCACACATACAAGAAGCAGAACCACTGATTCAGAATTCAACTCAACAACAGCCAGATGTCCCTCAGCAAGACAAACCTCTCTGTGGTCTGACACGCACAACGCTAGCAAACAACGCTCGGCTAACAGACGCCCAGCTAAACACAACACACAGCTAGCAAACACACTATTCAGCTAACAAAAGCAACACACAGCTTACAAACACTGCACCGGCTGGAATTACACTCCAAAAAAGACACACAAATACCTCTGTACGTCTGTGAAATCACACAGTGAAGTAAATCTAAACAAGCTAGCGTAATCCAGCCTTAGCACATACACAACATACAACTAACACACGCAATGTTCGGCTGACGCACACGACCCTAACAAACAGCTAAAGCTGGAATTACACTTTCACAAAGAAACATGTCTGTGAATTTCAAAGGATATTACTGTTAACCGCAGGTGAACTTGCTCCAACTCTAACAAACGTGCTAACGCTATGCAAACTAATCAGTAGATCCAAAAACCTGCTGGGTTTGATGAGGAGAAAATACATTTACATTTGTGCAAGTATAAAATAGCAACACAATAATAACTGTGCACATTCGAGAAGCGTAATCCAGCCCTAATATACACACATCACACCGCTAACGCACGTTCAGCACCATAAAGCTACAACAAACTGGTTTGCTATGGTATCTGATAGCTAATGAACATTCAGTTAACTCATTATTTCATACTAGTTAAACTACATGGATGGATAGTAAGCTCAGAAGCGTTTTTTGGCAGTTTGTTAGCAAGTCAAATTAGATTATTTTGTAGAACTGATTGTATCAGTGCTGATATTTAGCTGCTAACACAAGCAACTTTTTGCAGCCATTTTGGCTAGTTTGTCTAGCATTACGAAATTCACAAACTATCAGCATAATGTACATTTTTTTTTATTGCTATTTACTGTTTGTGCAATATGTGCCCGACAAATGGTAAAGTTAAGTTAGCATACACCATTAGCTAACTGCTATGAAACAGAAAAACTTCAGTGAGAACATTCATTCAGCTAACATTTGTAACACACAAGCCAGTTTTTTTTTTTTTCAAATAATAATTTAGCCATATTTAGCTACAATACACTGTTTAGCTATGGTTTTGCTCACATTTAGCTAATGCTAAATTTTCTAATGATTACTTGTTATTTGATGCTAGTTAAAGTAGAAAGATGGATTTTTAGTCAAAAAAGTTGCTTCAGGTTGTTTTTGGCAATTTGTTAGGAAGTCATATTTAGATTAACTAGTAGAATTGATTGTATTAATGCTAATGTTTAGCCGCTAACACCAGCAAAGGTTCTTTGCAGCAATTTTGTCTCTAGTTTACTAAAGTGTAAGGGGGAAATAAAAGATTTTTTTTCACGATTTACTGTCTGTGTAATTTCGTTGTGAGTGCAGCAGATTGCAAAGTTAAGTTAGCTCACGTTTAGCAAACAGCTACACACCAGACAAACTGTTGAGCTACCATGTTCATTTAGCTTAACATTTGTAACATGTATATTCAGTAAAAAAAATACCCACTGCTAAACCAACATACAACACCTAGCATAAGTTTCAGACAGCACATCTTTTCCATTAGCATTCAGCTTTCAGGCACCACTCAGCTAATAAAGCACAGCTTGTAGCTAACAGAAACATTCATTCAGCTAACACACAGCTGAGGTAACGCACACCTTTTTGCTAACAAACACCACTCAGCTAACTTGCGCATTTAGCTAACACGCTAGTTAAGCTAACACATTGCTAACAGAATCTTAAACTTCATTGTTCAGCTCCGAAAATTTCTCCCACAAAAAAAAAAAATGAAAAAAAAATCGGCAAAGTAGAAACGCAGAACTAAGTTACGACAACAATAATAAAGTTTCTCTGGAAGAAAATAGCAATTTCCCGCCTTTTCATAATGAAAGTTGAGGCAGGAAAACGTGGTGTCGGCTGGAGGTTAAATCCTGTGAGGACACAAAGTGTTTGACCACAGAGAGATCTGGCTTTAGACAACGCAATATAAATCGTCATTTATTCATCAATACATCATAAAACCTAAAGAAATCACTATAGAGATACAGGAATAAGAACTATCATCAAACCAAAAGAAAAAAATTAACGCGTCATTGCACCTCCAAGATGGCGACTAAACAGGTAAAATTAGAACAAACAGACCCAGCGAGCACAGATTTAGTACAAAAAACAGTCTCTGACGGTAAAACATTACATTTCCATCCGATGCTATTAAAATATTTCTATGCCAAAATAAAAAAAAAAAAATAACTGAGAGTCAACACACACAATCTGACGCATGCTTTAAAACATTATCATAAACAAAATAATAATAATAATATCTGATTTTCTTACTCAAGACTGCTAAGCCTTATACCGTTTTCTTATCGGAAAATAAAACTAGACAAAATATAGATTATACTGGATTTGTTTTGTTCAAAGCCACACTGATACATCTTTAAGTTCAAGTTTGATAAAAAACAAAACAAAAAGAAAAACCAGGTCTACATGTGGAGAGACCAGAGGCTAGTCCAAAAAAATCTGCCCGACAAAATATCGACTTTGTAAGGTTAAAAAACAGAAAGAAAAGAGTTCGTGATTTTTCAGTTAATCCTTAGTTTTTCTCTACAAAAAGGAAGGAGGAAGCGGCAGAGCGTTGCTAGGAAACCCCGATTCGGTTGCCATTGACGACCATCCGAGGCCTTCGCCGGCGAGGGAGGAGCCTCTAGTGATCCTGGGGGGACAGGAAATGACATCAGTGTGTTTGACCGGTCAGAGGCACTGTGCAGCTGCGGCAGATGCAGCCTCAGGTGTGTTACCTGTATCTGGGCGGGGTTCCACAGGTAGGGCTGCTGTCTGTAGTATTCTGCTAACGCTGCAGTGTAGTCTGGCACCGAACTCTGCTGGGACGACTGACCTGCAACCGCACAAACGCTCACCGTTAGCGCATGAATCACTCCTGTCAGCGTCCTGACTGTTATGTAGCTTCAGTCACGTCATCACGGACACGACTCGACCCAAACGGCCGAGCCACTGGACCACCAAACACGCTGAACGAAACGTCCTGAATCTGACGTTTGCTGCATTTCTGTGTATAAACAAGATTTTTTTTTTTACATGTGTTTTAGGTTTCTGGCAGCTTCATCCACTAAACGTCTCTGTGAACATGAACGCCAACATCATGGAAACCAGCCAGGCTCAGGTGTGTTACCTGCACACCGACCCGGTAACTCGTGTACTTATGTGATGGTGTGGATGTGGTGTTTGTGTGGCTGTCTCACTCTGTTTCTTGTAGTAGTCCTCCCAGGCCTTACTGTAGTCTGTCATCAGGCTCTGAGGCTGGTTCTGCTGGCCTGCAAGCGAAACATCACACGGACATCTGAGACAAACGTTCAGGTTCTGTCGGTTCCCACAGCTGCACAGCTTCATTTCTGTCCTCAAAGGGCCTGAACACAGCCACAGCCTGCTCTGATGCTGTGGTTCTGATCCAGCAGTCGCTCTGTGGTCTCAGTAATGTCCCACCCACGGCTTCACCTGATTGGCAGTTACATGTCACGTAACAGCCAATCACTAAAAGCCATTGTTTACACAGAGAGACAGACGAGCACATTGCCTTCAGACTGCAGCAGCTCCAGCTAGCAGCTCTCTGAAGGTGAGGTTCTGATGAACGGCAGCTGGAACTGATTCTCACGGGGCTAAGCTAATGCTATCACAAAGGAGTTAGCTGTTCCTGCTAGCCTGCGGCTAACACTAGCTTAGTCAGATTAACCTCACCAGTCTGTTTAAACTGACAGACTTGTCTTTACCAAACATAGAAGACCCGACCAAAAGGCACAAACATCTCCACAAATCAGGACATGAGCTAATGCTATGCTAACGGCTAAGTTAGGAAGTAGCCACAGGTTCAACTAAAACAGAGTCTGAAAAAAACAACTATAAAAGCTTTGAGATCTGGGAAATAAAAATGACAGAAACCAAAGAGCAGCAGAGTAGCCGTTATTGATCTCAATCAATAGATCGATCAGTGACCTGAGAACATCTGTGACGTCTTCACTCACACGTGTGTTCTTCATATTCAGTCCTACTGATCCTGTTAATAAAGTGACATGGCGCTGCTAGCACATGCTATCAGTATGGAACGGCTAATGGATTCCAGTTTCAAATATTGATTATCTGCCTTTTTCTCCCATGCTTTAGAGTAGTCCATCTGTCCTGTGTTTGTGTGCGTCAGACACTCTGGACCTGTGTCCCCCTGTTGGACTGAGTGTGTGTGTGTGTGTGTGTGTGTGTGTGTGTGCGTGTGTGTGTGTGTGTGTGCAGGTTCACAGCTCACTGACTCGTCTCACTCTGACTGTCCTGACTCACATCAGGCTGGAAACACTTCTACGTCTGCAACAGGTGGATCAAAATGACCACAAGGAGACACAACACCCCAAAACACAAAGAGACAGACACAGAGACTGAGATCCACCTCAGTGGGACACAAAGACACACACGAGACACGAAACGCCACGAAGCAACAAAACATGAAGAACACAATTCCAAAACAAGACGACCACAAAGACAAGAAACAACCAGAACGAGACTCTAATCAACAGAGAGGAGACAGAACGGTCTCTATGGGTTACAGACGCTGGAGATAAGGAAATAGCAAGATACAGTCAGAACGCCGGGATAGAAGGACACCATGAAGACTGGAGAACCCTCCAAGAACTCTGGAGGAGGTTGTTGAGCAGCATCAGTCAGGAGAGGATACAAGAACATCTCCAAGTTACTGAACATCTCTGGAGTCCAGTTAAATCCATCATTAAGACATGGAAGGACTATGGACCATGAGTAGATCTGACTAGAGCAGGACGTCCTCAGAGACTGAGTGACCGAGCAAGAAGGAGACTAGAGAGGGAGGCCACCAAGACTCCTATGACTCCTCTAAAGGAGTTAAAAGCATCATGATGAAGCACGGTGGTGGCAGCATCATGATGTGGGGATCTTCTCAGCAGCAGCCTGGAAGGCTTGTGAAGGTAGAGGGTGAATGAATGCAGCAGAGTGTAGAGAAATCCTGGAGGACAACCTGATGCAGGAGAACTGAGACGTGGAGAAGACTTGGTTTCCATCAAGACGATGAGCCGAAGCAAACAGCCAAAGCTCCACAGAGATGGTTTGAAGACAACAAGGTGAAGTTCTGGAGGTCCAGTCAGAGTCCAGACCTCAGTCCAAGTTCTGTTCACTCATGAGCCCTGCGGAACCTTCTGCAATCAGCTGTTGTATATCTTAAATTAATTGACAATACTTTGTAGAACAATGTTCTTAATAAACATGAATATATATATATATTTTAATTCTTGTCAAAAGCCAAATTAAATTGATCACGATTCAACGTTGAAAAGCAACAAAAGGAGAAAACTTCCAGGAAGGCGAAGACTTCTCATAGCCGCTGGTTTGCTGCTTGTGTTTGATTTTACCAGAACCACGTAAAACCTAAAGGCAGTAACTCAAGTTTAACCTAGTTTGTAAGATGCTGTGTCTGTCGTGTGTCTGTTGTGTTACCAGGGTCTTGTTGTCCAGGGTTCTGCCAGCTGGTCTGGTAGGTGTTTCCCCAAACGCCGGTCAGGAAAGTCTGACCGCTGCCACAGCTGCAAACACAAACATCTGGTCACCAACATGAATGTCTTTATTTTTCACCTTTCGTTATGAAAAACCAACACATTGACGTTGACAATATAAAAACAGGCCGAGTCTGCTGTCAGTCGGCCTCAGAAGGTTCTTCGGTTCGACCCGCTTTAATCAACTTTTATGGAAAGTTAACAGAAAGTTAATTCAGACAGGAGATGATGCATCAACGAGGTGTGACGGATGACATGAGGGTGGAGAGTGGTCTTACTTCTGGTGTGCAGCCGGGCCCTGGGTGAAGGGACTGAAGCCAAAGCCTCCGTTACTCATGATGCCTGAACCCTGCAGAGGCCAACAGACACTTCAGTGGACGGCTTTAGTGTCACAACTCTTATTCTTTTTGCATTTTTCTCTGAATCTAAACATCTTTTCTGCAGAATAATTCTAAAACAACATATTCGTTCTGCTCTGTTCGGATGCGACACCAAACACGAAACGTCTTGGTACCAGAGCCCAATCACTGAGGAGCGTTTGTTTTGCGTACCCCGATCTTGTCGTCTATGAGCTGGCGGGCGAGGTCCATCTGCTGGGCGGTGCCTCTGATGGTGAAGACTCGGGTGTTGGGGTCGGTAGAGGGCGGAGGGTTCCTCTGCAGCTCCACATGAGCTCCAGACTGCTGGTTAATACTCTTTATGGTTTCTCCACCTGCACACACACAAAGCAGCATCTCTAACATCCAGCTGTAAAGATTCCAGATGCTGTTAGCTGTCCTTTG